GGAACGGAGATCATCTAAACGATGAAGCAAGTCTTTGTGGCTTGGGTTGATTGTGTGATGGAACATGTGAATGCGATACGAGATGATTGTGTGGGTAATGAATTTATTTGTGATTGTGATTCGTCCTAACTAGGAGATAGACATTAAGGAAATTATTTATTGATTACGAACTATCTTCCTGACAAGAATTATGACGGTAAGTTGTGGTAGATATGAGATATCTACATGACAGGAACTAAGTGTTCGGTTTTGAATTGTCTATGCGATGAAAAGAAAGAAAAGCTAAGTGGTTTGAGGCGTTTAAACGATAGATGTCTATGTGACATATATTGTCTACTTGGTTAAGTCGTCTAAGTGACAAGAGTTAATTGTTGGGATGAATTGTCTACGTGACTAAAAATAAATTTCAGTGTTTTGAGTCGTCTTCATGACTGAATTAAGATATGTGCTAGAATGGTCTAAGTGACAAGAACAAGAGTTGATGTCATGTTATGGGTCTTATGAAAGACAAAAATTAATATTATGATTTGAGTTATCTGAGTGACGAATGGTACTTATGTGATGATATAATCTTGCGGTGTATGTTGTTTGGGTGGCGAAACGGTTATCTCTGTGTGAGGCCGTAGAGCAACGAGATAGGATCTCGTGTTAAAATTATGGGATTACGAATAATAAATTTCTACCGATGAATTAGTGTATCTTGTTATTTTCTTGACTCTAATTATGGGAAACTACTGGATGCTCACTAAAAAATTCTCAAAATCTTTTCTGGTAATCTGTACACAAGCCTGAAGTCCACTGCTGAAACTAGAGGTCCAGTCGGGAGTTCTTGGAGGAAGGTCTCGTGTCAATTTGTTTTTATTCTTTTTCCTTTTGGTTTGTATAGAACTTTAGTGTTTTTCTTGACGTGTAAATGACACCTTAAAAAAAATGTTTTTGGGTTATGACTATTTTATATGGTAGTGAACCGGTGTGCTTGCACTCATGTGACTTTTTATTTTAAAAGTGGACAATGTTATACATTTTGTCAGAGATGATTTTTTTTATTAAAAAAAGCATATCAATAGTAGGTTTGCGAGACAAAGTGTGTTATGTCTATGTTATATTTTCAGTTCTAAGCCCGGAACGGGGTGTTACACACAACCTCAACATTATTGGCCACATCAGTGACCATATTGCTGAAAGAAGGCACCGGTGGAACTAAGTTAACTACGGCCATGGAAGAGGCCATAGAAGTAGGAATGATCACCGGCCCGAGGGGCTTAAGGTTTTCCAAATATCGCATCTTTAGAAAGCCTTTTGTTAACAGAAACAGACGAAGAAGTGCCATCATGTTGGCAAACACAGCGCACAAGAGGGGCATCATCGTCAATGTCTTGTCCCTCGCTAACTTGAGTGTGAGAGACAAATGAAGAAGGGACTATAGAAGAGCGTCGCCACTTATCCTTGCGGCAAGGCCTTATTGGAGAAGAAAGCATAGTTAAGGAAGACAAATTGTCACAAATCAAGGTCAACATTCTGAGGTCGTACAACGGTTGAGGGAGAAATCCCGACTGAGCTGGCCCTAGGAGATGGTTGAGCCTATGACGAAAAGCCCACATAATTGAGAATTGAGACTGTGTCATGGTCAAATTGCCGAGAAACGTATCATTTCTACCGGGCCTTGACAATCTTCAAAACCTCGAATAACGCAGTAAAGGAGGTCATTCAAAAAGAGTGACGGGCAAAAGAGTAACGATGGCTGACTTCTCGAACATTCCTATGGGTCAAATTAGGCCGACTAATGAGGTCAGTGTTAAGGGCACGGATGAAGGAAGGAATCTTCTGCACCAAGCCAAATTTGTAGGCGAATTACTGCGGCATGTAAACTTCAATGCCGCAGTGAGCATTGGCGTCGTAAGTCGGCCCTAGGCCATAATGCAAGTCTTAGGGGTGGAGGTAGGAGAACTAGATGTCCCCATTGTGAGAAGCAGTATAAACGGGGGCTTCACCAAGCTTATAAAGGAACCATTCTAGCCCCGGATTTCGAGCAAACGACATCCAAACGGGTCGTGAGTTGTTCAAGTTATCCAAATAGGACAAGCAATCCGCAAAAGAATGCTCTTTGAAAGGGGTTGTGGCGAATAAGTGATCGTAAGAGAAGGAGACATTGTTAGCATATGGTATGGAAAGCTCTGGGAAGTAAGTGCGAAACCATAGCTGGAGCACCCGGAAGGGACCCGAACCTTTTTGCATCTTTGATGCCACAATTTTCTACAACCCACGATAGAGGTGGCGAGCATTACAGATTATATAAGCGCAAAGAACAAGCCGTTACAATAATTAAAAGATATAGACGGATCACGTGTCAGTCGTTTCCTATAAATTTGAAAAGACGAAAGATAGACCTAGAGAATACACGTAGAAGATTGGCCACAATCCCCAAGTTTCACGGCCAATGACAAGATGACAACCAAGTAAGGCAAGTGTAACGACAAAAGTTTAAATTCAAAAGATCCAAAACGACACCCCGAATATGGAGTATTTAGTCACATTGTTTTAGGGGGTAATGTTTGTACCCAAAAATAGAAAAATCAGAGGGCGACACGTGGAAATTATCCAACAGTCATGAAAGAGTCTCTAAGAGGCCACGATTGACAAAGTCATTTGAGGAGTAGGACTCTAAGAATCTCGGAAAATAGGAAGATGTGACATCATGAGCCGCCAATGGGAAACGGTTTAGCGCATGTCATCGCATCTCGAGGAAAAATGTCATGATTACAGTAATGGCCGAAAAAGATAGCTTTGACGATTGGAGGTCATCTCTATAAATAACAGAGGTCAGGCCATAGAGAAGGGATCCACGATCAAACACAACAAACTCAACACGGAACCAGCCAACCTTATATTTACTTATCCTTACTCCCGAGCAACTTTATTTTTCATGTAACACATCACTCTGATGATCTTTTGCTACTTTCATTTAATGCCAAGTACAGCACTTGTTTCATCTTCTAAATTTAGTCTACTTGTTGCTATGCATTCCAATTGTCTTTTTTACATTTCAGTCAATTACGCAGTTAGTTGAAAAATTATTTAAGTCTTTGAACCCCAAGGAATATAAAAGAGCTCAGAGGTAGCCTTACGTCTCGCTACAATCGTCTAAATAGTCACAATTTTTAGAACCTCACACCGGTTCGAGTAGGTAATGTCGTATGTGTCTGAATCTTAAATCCAATCGAACATTGGCACGCCCGCAATCCGAAAATACAGGTCTTGTCAACAAGATCCGTATGACAACACCCGCATTTTAACAGATTTTACTCGTACAAATTATTTAACAATCAATTATTTTCTCATTTTGATGCAACCTTGATTGAATTGTGATAATTTATTGAGGGTGTTTATACAACTCTAATCCTAGTCCCTAGTTACTTACACAATGAAATATTTTTATGATCTACATATTAATAAATTTGGTAGACGTGAATTTAAATTACTTAATTTTACTAGTAAAAATAGAACTGAGACTTGAATGTAATGATTGATGCTAGGTGATCTATAGAGGTGCATGTCGGTTAGTATCTCATATTAATTAATCGCATGATATTTAATTATGGACATATTGTTATAATATCTCAGTTTGGGAATTATATGAGTTAAGATGGATGGTTGCCACCAAAGTGGTTCATTCTTTGAAATTTGAAGATCGTTCTCATGCTTTTATTACGGGAAAGTCTATAAATTATAATATACAATGACCTGCTCAAAAAGGGTTATTGTGTGTTATAATTTGAAGAAGGCATGAAACATTGTGTTAGAAGTGCAATAGTCTAGAAGGTCTATCTGTCCAAAAAAGATAGATTTTTGTGAAACTTAAATATTCTCATTGGTTAGTTTCGTGAAAGAGAGGACCGATATCATATTGCATTTTCTGACCAAAAGAGAGTTTGTAGTGATGTATTTAAACTCTTCTAATAAAATATGACTTATTATATTCAAAACATATTTTATTTATTTATTGCTCAATTTTACTAGCCGGTTGCATTCTCGTTGCCTTGACCAGCCTCTTTTCTTGTCAATAATAATAATGTCAACATTAAGATCCTGACTAGTTCTAATTATAAAAAATGAAAACAAGATATTAAGTTTATCCTGAGAATTGCAGATATAGTCTTAGCCTTGCAAGAGAATGAACCTCCTAAATCTAACCGTGAAAACTCCTCTAAAGTAAATGAACATTATGCAAAGTAGTAGAAATCTAATCAGCTGAATATGATTATCATGAAAAGGTCTATTTCTGAACACCTTATGGGTAATTTGCCTGAATTCAAGAATGTAAATAAGTTCTTTACTATTATAGGAGAGAGATACAATATATCCAATAAGACTGAAGCTGGGGCGTAATGAATGAAGTGACGAGAATGAAATATGATAATATAGGCGGTGTTAGTGAATATATCCTTAAAATAGTCCATGTTCAAACCAAGTTCAAAACTTTCAAAATTAATATTCCTAATTATTTCATTATTCACACTCTTAATTTTTTGCCTCCTAAGTTTAGTCAAATCAAAACTACCTACAATACCCAAAATGAGTTTTAGACAGTAAATGACCTTATCTCCCAGTGTGATTTTAAGGAACAAAGACTTAGAAAAGAAAAGAGTGAAACCACCTAGTTTATTTCCCAACCTAAAACTAGTTTCAATGGTGGGCATCTGAGAAATAAAAGAAAATCTAATCATAATGCTCCTAAAAAGACATGGTACTAGTCAGAATATGGGAGGTCCTAAGACTGTCATTCGAAAATATGTCAAGAGTTACTTTTGCAAGAAATGAGATCATAAGAAAAAAGTGAGTGCACTAAATTAAAGTCTTGGTCAGAAAAGAAGAATAAAAAAGAAGGTACCTCACTAGCCTTTGTTTGCCTTTGAATACAATTTAGTTAATGTCCCATTAAATTCTAAACATGGAACAAGATGTACAATTTTTAATTTTAATCTATACCCTCTTCTTTGGAGTTCACATACAAGAGTGAAGAGAAGGTCCCAATTCTCCCTAAGTTTGATTGGGATCTTTTTGGTGAAGAAAAGCAGCAGCAGCCACCCAATGAAAATGAGAAGCAAAAGCAGCCACTTATCGAAAATGTGGAGGTTCCTGAACCACAACAAGCACAAAGACAAGTGACTGAAGATTTAAAGGTCTATTTGAGAAGGAAGAAGGATAAGACCACTTCTCTTCCTACTTGCCAATCATCATCCTTGACTTTAGGTAATTTTGCTCTTCCTGTTTCTAATTCAAATCCTGTTGATGACTCTTCCACTCCAGATTTTCATGATATAGATTTGTCCATTGCGCCAATGATATAGATCTGTCCATTGCACTTCGCAAAGGAGTCACATCTTGTACCCAACACCCCATTTCTAACTTTGTCTCATATGATTATCTCTCAGCTTTGTATCCTAGTTGTCTTCTGTATCTATTATACCTGCAAGATGCACTTAATGATCCGAAGTAGAAGGAAGCAACGCATGAGGAGATGAAACTCTTCAGAAAAATAACACTTGGAACTTGGTTCAGCTACGTAGAAGAAATAAGACTGTTAGATGCAAGTGGATGTTCGCAATGAAACATAAGACATATGGTTTTGTGGAAAGGTAACAGGGTAAATTGGTGGTCAAAGGATTCACACAAACATATGGGATTAACTACTAGAAGACTTTTGCTCCAGTCGCAAAGAAAGATCAATTCGAGTTCCCTTTCCTTGGCTACAAATTTTGTTGGCCTCTTTAGCAGTTTAATTCGAAGAACGTCTTCCTCCATAGAGACCTTGAGAAGGAAGTGTATATGGATGCTCCTCATGCGTTTGATTCTTTCTATACTTCGAGCACAGTGTGCAAGTTAAGGAAGGCAGTGTATGAATTGAAATAATATCCCGGGCAATGCAGAGATATGGATATAGAAAGAGTCGGGGAGACCATACCTTATTTATTAAAAATTCTTCTCATAGGAAGGTAATGGTTCATATTGTATATGTAGATGATAATGTTTTGACTGGAAATGATTTTGAAGAGATGCAAAAGCTAAATAAGAACCGGCGAGTTTGAAATCAAAGACTTAGGAAGTTTGAAGTACTTCCTAGATATTGAGGTTGTCAAGTCTAGGCAAGGTATCTTTATCTCTTGGGGAAAATAGGTTCTTGGTCTTCTTAAGGAGACAGGAATGCTTGGATGTAAGGCCACAGATAACCTAGTGGAGCAGAAATTTAAGCTAGGAGAAGATGAGCATGCCTCAGTAGACAAAGGCAAATATCAAAGGTTGGTTGATAGACTAATTTATTTATCCCCCACTTGGCCAGACATTGCTTATGTGGTAATGTTGTAAGTCAATTTATGCATTAACCTCATCAGTCACATATAAAGGCAATTTATCGTATTCTTCGATATTTGAAATAAACTAGTGGTAAAGGATTATTATTTTCTAGACATGACCACAATGAGTGGAACTAGAATCTTATACAGATACAGAATGGGCAGGTTTAGTGATAGATAGAAGGTCTACTTCTGGATAATGCACTTGTTGGAGGAAATCTAGTAACATGGAGTAGTAAAAAATAGTCAGTTGTTGCTTGATCAAGTGCAAAGGCAGTGCTTAGAGCTATGACTCATGGAGTGTGTGAATTGCTCTAGATAAAGACTCTAATAAAAGAGATTGGCTATGACTTAGTTGATCTGAAGTGGTTGTACAGTGATAACAAGGCAACAATCAATATTGCTCATAATCCGGTTCAGCATGATAGGATAAAACACATAGAAATTGAGACATTTTATTATGGAAAAGTTGCATTAAGGGGTAATTTACATACATTACGTGAAGACAGGAGATCAAATTGCAGATATATTGACAAAGGGAGTGTCAAGCAAGGTTTTTTCATGCAACTTTAAGAGAGTTGGGCAAGCATGATATCTTCGCCACATCTTGAGGAGGAGTTTTAGCAAGTTGTATTAGTTTCTAATTCTTATGTTCAAGGGTATTTATGTAATTTAATACTCTTCTTTTAACTAGTATAAAAAACATTCTAAGAGTAAGGGAACCCTGATACTGGTTCTGCTTAGCTGTAATTAACCTTTTCTCTTCTCCTCTTTCTCCTTAATTCTTTATGGCTTCTTATTCATATTCTCTTTTCAGTTGATTCAACCTAAACAATTCAATTGCTAGTCCTTCTCAAATTCTCTTTTTAGTTGATTCAACCTAAACAATTCAATTGCTAGTCCTTCTCAAAAAGCAAGAAGGCATCGTGTTATGGAGATGAAAGACACCAAAACTCCATGGGGATACTCCATGGAGACTAGTTATGGATTGATATTATTTTGTCCATATGCAAGACATTGATGGGATTTGGCACTCTTGGTATTGGATCCAATGTGTAGAGTCTATGGCATTCTAATTGGGCTTTTCAAACAATGGTTTTTACCAGATAATCATACTCTCACTCATATTTCATTCCATATCATGTTTTTACATTCCGTTCATTTGTTAGTGTCATTTGGCTCTCACAGGTTAAGCTTGATACCTCAGTCTTGAAAACGGAATCTGGCCAAATTTTTGTTTAGAAAATCTTTCACATTTGACTCTTTTTTCTGAAAAATAATTGCTAAGCCGGTGTGTTTTGTTGGGATGTACAGTTTTTCTGAATTAAATCACGATTAGGAAATCTAGGGCAACTAAAGCTCCTACGCTCACAAAAAATGAGTTAAAACAAAATAAAGCGAAAGGCTCAAGTATGAGATAGCAGGCTTGTCATGATTGAACAGCTCTAGCCTCACTGTAAGCATGTGATATGATCATCCTCACCTCCCAATTGGGAGATCAAGGGTTCTAGCCTTGCTATAAGCATGGGGTTGGGATCCCCAACCTATGGCTTTTTTTTTTTTTTTTTTTGGAGGGGGGGGGGGGGCTGTAAAAAAAATCAAACCTCATCCCTCTTCGGCAAACATGATGGTGGAACTGGAACAGGAACCTTGGCAGGTGGGCGCGAACCTACAAAGCATTTATGACTTTTGAGTCCCATTACCAATGTAAATATTATGCATACATCTTATCAGTTGTGATCAAGAGAAACAAGAGAAATAAATGGCTCAATGATCTGATCAAATAATATCACTATGGTTCGAGCGAAAGTAACAGTATCTACTCGGACACTACAATGGAAGTGTGTTAAATCAAGAGTAGATAATATGCGTCTTTATTATGAACCTTATATTTTGTCGCCACTTATGAAAGGTCAAGTTGACACAATAGCCATTGCGAAGCAAAGAGAATAGAAGGAACATGTATCAGATGCACAAAATTTGAGAAAATACCACACGAATATTCTACCATAGTGAGTATTCAAGAATCAGTACATGAAATTTAATGAATTTGAAAGAAATTGTATTGAGAAGTAATCTATATAGAACTTGCGACGTGTCTATTTGTGTCAAGGGTCCTAGATATGTATCCACTCAAGATATTATCTTACCGCCCTATGTAGAAATCGTTGATAATACACAAAATATAGCTAGCTTGATGGAACCAATTGATTTGTGTATTGGATTACAAATCAAGAGGAATCATGGATATCGTATATAAATGTCAAGTTTCCGTAATAGATTCCCCCAACGCTAGACTAATAATAATAAATCCCCCATCAGTCGCATAATGGCTCCCAAGGCTCCCTTCCTCTTGTTAGGGTCGATTGTTTGACTTGAGCTTGAGTAATTAACTTTCTCTCCATGGTCTAGCCTTCAAAGAATTCCGATGATGTTTGCCAAACACACAACTTTCACTAATTCAATCTAATGTACGCCCAGCAAAGTAAAAAGACAAGTAGTTTGCAACTTTAATGCATTCAAAAAAGTAAGCAAATAACACACTGAATGCGGTCACTAACCATCAACACCAACAGGCCAATATGGAGCCTTAGTAGGAGCATCCAAATGCTGAAGAATAGTTTGATCTGCCTTCATGACAGAGATTGAGAACCCTGCCCAAAACATGTAACTAAGAAAAAGCAAGTGCTTGACAAAAATAAATAAAAAACAGTTTGGAAGCATTAACAAACCTGCCATATCAAGGGAAGTCATAAACGACCCTGTATACACTCTATCAACAGCCAGGCCATGTTCCAGCTGCAATTGAGGAACAGCTTTTCCAGCTGCAATCATCAATTCCATTATAGGGGTGGCTCCTAATCTGCAATTTAGAAGCAATGAAACAGCAGAAAATGTTTGCTAGAAAACAATATACAGCTTAGACCAAATGTGATGTAGATTGAAAAGTACCAGATAACTAGCCGCACTAGTGAAAATTCGCAAAAATTAATCATGTGCAGCCCACAAAACCCAAAAAAAAATCAAGCTGTATCATATAAACACAGTATCAAAATATTCTGCAAATGGAAAGACTAATTTCAAACAAAGGGTAACTCAATCACTGTTTCATCTTCGCATTAACATTCTTCAGAGGGCAAGTATTAGAAATGTCAAGGTCTGCATAATTCCAGATATAAACTAGAATAACTTTAGCTCCATTTTTTACTAAACAAATTCATCTCTATCCTGATCAGATTTAGCATCAGAGTTTTGAAAGAATCAACAGTTAGTCGGGCAACACAATCATGGGGGTACACTAGTTTTGCCAAAAATTAGGTTTTTCCTCTAATCAATTTATTGCTGGTGTGCTTTCTAAAATCTCCAAGAAATTAGTGTGAATGGACCCTTATGTTGGACCCAGCAAGAAAGAAATCTCTAATTAGATACTTTAGGGGTCTAGTGTGAAATTTTATATTGATCAACTCAATGGAAAATTGGGAAATATGGTACTCAGAACTTCAGAGAAAGCATGGCTTATGGCATCGCCAGTTTCCATGTGACTGCACCAAATCTTGACTCCCTCCTGCTCTCCGACACCATAGTAGGTTTTAAATCATGCCAGTTGTGCAAATTTAAGGAGCGTAAGGTGTGCTCATAATCATTTTTCTCTATTTTTCCTCAAGGGCATTTGAGGTGGTGGTAATTTTTATTGACTTGGGCACCTTTCATTTTCATCGATGACTCGGCAGAGCTCTAATGAGGACACAGGTTGCTCCCATCAACCATGGAACCTACTATACAAGAAAATGAAATACAAATTCAACTAGTTGTTCATTGCTCAAATGGGCTTTCGTGCAATAATTGTCCCATATTTCCATATTGTATTTCATGTAATTAATTTCTCACTTATATCTTCAATAGACCCCATTTTTTATTATTTTGAAGAAAATGTATTCCTTACAAACTAAAACCAAAGCCCAAAAACCGATGGACATTTTCATTATCACAGAAATATGCACCAGTAAGAAAAACATATGGATAGCCTCCCTACCGCATGATCTACCCAGTTCAGACCGATCCAGTCAGACTGCTCTGGCTCAATCCGTTTCACACCTAACTGGTTCAATTGCGACCCGGATCAACTCTCACCTACTCCGCTTCTGGCCGATTCATACCGGTTCAAGATCCTTTTGGTCTGGTTCAGGCTAGTTCATCTGTTTCTTGACCGGTTCACCTTGTTCTACTCATTTTCTACTCCGATTCATCACCACATAGCTTAGCAGTTCACTTTTCTGACCAGATTCAGTGGTTCCAACAACGTTTTGGCCTATCTCGTGCACTGGTTCAGAATTGGTTAAACCTAAAAGCAGTGATTCTATTTTTGCTCAATGGGAACAAGAAGATGCTCAATTATTTCACTTATGCAAAATAGTATTGAGCCTCAGAGCAGTTTATCCTTACTTTATTTAGACACTGCCAAGGTGATTTAGGATCGATTGACATACATGTATTCTGGTAGTCGTAATATCACACGAATTTATAAGGTATGTAGGCAATATTTTGATATAGAACAAGGCACGTTGTCTCTTGAGAAGTACTTCTCCAAGCTAATAGGCATTTGTAAAGAACTTAAGATGCATCAGCCTACATCTTCTGATGTTTCAAAGATGCAACAACAACGTGATGATATTGATATTATCTGATTTTTGATTGGATTGCGATCTAAATATGAGCCAATTTGTGTCATAATGTATTTTCTCGATGGAATTGCAATCTAATTGGATTTTTGATAGATTTTGGGTAGCTCCAAGCTTCCATTTCTTCCTAATGTAGTTTCTCAATTTCAGCGGCCTGCCTCATCAAATCATAGCTCACCACTCGCTAATGGTTCCTGACCATATTAGTGATAGATCAGCTTTGGTTACCTCTCAAAATAGATCAGGCAATTCTCATGGAGGTCGTGGTGGTTGAGGAGGCCGTGGTAAGCATGGTGAATCTGGGGGTTCTCATGGCAGTCATGGTGGGAAAGCAGGTCGCAACATTCATAAATGTACTAATTGTGGTCGTAAAATTCACATTGTAGACTATTGTTGAGATTTGCAAGGAAAACAACCTCCCTATGCTCATCAGGTATCCTCTCAAGATGATGTTCCATCCTCCGGCCCTAATCAGCGCCTTGCTGGTGACCTCCTTACTATTTTGAGGGATAAGTATGCTCAGTTCATGTCTCAGAATAGGCAATAGCTCCTCTACTGCCACCTTTGTGCAATCGGGTACAACTTTCACTTATTTACTATCTTCTACCCCCAAACCATGGATCATTGATTCCAGAGCCAAGATCATATGACTAGTTCTCCTGATCACCTATCTCACTTTCATCTTATAGCCCCATCTCCCAGCGTTACTCTTGCTATTGGGTCATCATCACCAGTTTCAGATTTGGGTAATACACAACTTAGTTCTTCTATATTAGCGTCATCTGTTTTGCTTGTTCCTCGGTTTCTTTTTAGTTTGTTATCTATTAGTCAAATCACTAGTTCTCTTAATTGTTTAGTAACATTTTATCCTTCACGTTGAATCATTCAGGATCTCAAGATGAAGAAGAAAATTAGTACAAGGCAAGAATCGGGTGGTTTATATTACTTTGACTTTGGGCCTACTCCTAGAGCCTTGCAAACCTCCTATGTAAACAATCGAATCTAACTTGTCGAAACGCTTCAAAAATCTTCCACATCATCAACATCTGACATAATGACGTCCGCAACACATGTCAGAAAATTTAACGACAACCATGATCAGTGTCAATTTTTTGTTTCGAGTATAATAGTGATTTTTCCAGAAATTTTTGGATCCATCTAGCAAATTTTTTGGATTTTCGAATGATTTTTCTATTTTTTTTGCTCGCAATCGAGATCCGCAATTTTAGACCACTTTCAGTGTTGGTTTCTACTAAGTGCTACTTGATTAGGCTCAATAGGGTAGATCTAAGATACCCATAGTGCTTTGGCGTTTTTGGATTGTAGTTGTGGGGTTTTTGTTGAATTTGGTGTGCTGACAAACTGGTTTTGATATATCTCGACTTCGGCTTGGCTATGCTACATTAGTCTTCTTCTGGTCAAGTACTTTTGGGTTTCTTCTACTCTTCAAAGCTATTTGTGTAAAACCCAAAAAAATTAAAATTTTAATTAAAAAGGGAAAAATGGTAATTAGTCATTACGATGCATGTTGAAAATCTGAATTTTTTTATAACTCAGATGACGAAACGGACCTCTATGTTAGATTTGTATCGTCAAATCTAGTTGTTCAGTCAATTTTCGTCGAATTTCGAAATAGTCTCGACCGTGTATCGCATGACTAAAATTAACGCGATCAAATTTATTCGCAAAACCTGGGAAATCATTTAAAGATAGTTCAATAAAAACTTACTAAACTCAACACGGGACGAAATTTAATTGATTCGGGATAAAATCAAATCAGAAAAATTGAAATATGTGGCGCAATGAAAGCCAAGTATTTGAAGAGTGTAAAAGGGGAAGAAAATCATGTTTTTTTCCCCCATTCTTTAGCCCATTTTTGGATAGAGAGAGAGAAGAGAGAAAGAAAAAGAAACAGAAAAAGAGTGAAGTCTCCCTCTTCACCTTCTTCCTTCGATGTACGCGTTCCGACCGTCAGATTGCTTCAAGCAAAGAACTAAAGTCGTTCTACATGACCTACAAAACCATATCAAAGATCATGAGTTTCGCCACAATTTCAAACCTTAAGATCTTCTGGCATTTGGTATTTGGTTCTCATCGATTATTGGATATAGTACAGTCTCCACCATTATAATATGATTCACCATTGTGTATGATTTCTTGTTCAAATCCGATTGTGTTATTCTTAAGAAATTGGTTCTCTTGATGAATTTATTTTTCCAAACCTTTGATTTACATATGTATGCCAAATATGTTTTTCAGTCATTTTGAATATACATGTCTTTCCATGCACTGGGCTTTTTAGCTCATGTTTTCAAAATAATATTTTTCGAGGCAAACAATTGGAGTGTCAATAGCGAACTCAGGGAATTGATTGGGGATTAATAATGTTGTTGTGACCTCCGTAGCATCATATAGCCATCTTTACTTGTTTAGATAATTGGGACAAACAAATTTAGGTATGTTGACTTTGACATATTAACATGAGATTAATTTAGTGTTAATGTTGTTTTCCATTCCTATATTATTAGTATATTATTAGGTTTACGTGTTCCATAGGTTATGGATCTATGGTTTATGGCAGGTCATGCCCTTGGAGTTGGGGTTTTATACTTTTCCTCTTAGTTCTTTCAGTCGTCAATCCAATTCGTTTCATGTTGTTCATAAAGACATTTGGAATCCTGCATGAGCCAAAAATATTTCTGGTTATCAGTATTTTGACATCTTTGTTGATGATTTATCTCATATGACTTAGTTATTTCTTATGAAAAACCGATATGAATTGCATAAGGTCTTTACCACCTTTTATAATTAAATTCTAGTTCAGTTCGATACCCGTACTAAGGTTTTTTGGTCTAACAATGCCCTTGAATATATTCATGAGAATCAGACTTAGAATCTCTCTTCACTTCTTCCTGGGAAACAGCCCATTAATTATTGGTGGGTCTACACTGTGAAATATCTTCCTGATGGTTTTGTCAAGCATTTAAAGGCTCGGTTGGCACCCAAACATATGATGTTGATTACTATGAGACATTTTCCCCTGTTGTTCGACTTAACTCTGTTAGAGTTCTTATTTCAGTTCCAGTTTGTCATAAGCCCTTATCCTAAATGGACATAAAGAATGCATTTTTATATGGAGATTTACTGGAGGAGATATACATGGTTCAGCCCCCAGGTTATATTACTTGTGGTAAGTAACAACTAATATGTCGGCTGAAGAAAACACTATATGATCTAAAACAGTTACTACATGCTTGATTTGATAAGTTCAGCACTGTGGTCCTTCAATATGGTTTTCAGTTCTACTTCAGATCATTCAATGTTTATTTGTCGTTCTATCCAAAGGGTTATCATTCTCATTATATATGTTGATGACATTATCATTAGTGATGATGATTTTGATGGTGTTGCCAATTTTAAGCTCTAATTAGGAAACCAGTTTTACACTAAAGATCTGGGTCTTCTTCAGTACTTCCTTAAGATTGAGGTTGTTCAGTCAAAGGAAGGTATCAATCTATGTCAAAGAAAGTACGTATTGGATTTGATATCTGAAACTGGTACTTTTGGTGCTTGTCCTATTGATACCCCTATAGATTCTACAATCAAGTAAGATACTGATAGTGGGAAAGTTTTTGACGACATAGGGCGCTATCGAAGATTGGTTGGTAAATTAATCTGCCTCACAGTTACGCGTCCCGATATTACATTTGTAGCTAGAGTAATTAGTTAGTTTATGCATACTTCTTGCAAACCTCATTAGGAGGCTGCTTGTCGTATCCTTCGGTATCTAAAAAGAGCACCCGAAAAGGATTATTATATCAGTCTTCCCCATGTATAACTATTGTTGGCTTTTTTGATTTTCAACAAATAGGTAGTCGTACTAGTAGACGATCTAACTCTTGGTCATTGCACATTTGTTGGTGGTAGTCTTGTTACTTGGCATAGCAAGAAATAGAATGTAGTTGCATGTTCAAGTGCAGAGGCAGAATATTGGGCTATGGCTCACATGTCGTTTGAAATGTTGTGGGTGCGTGCTCTACTTCATGATATGGGGATTAGTGTGCCTTTTCCTATACAGATGCATTGTGATAATCAGACAACTATTTTTATTGCCAGTAATTTAGTGTTTCTTGAGTGCAGCAAACATGTATAAAGAAATTGTCATTTTATTTGTGATCTCCTGATGTGAAAGAGATTATCACTTCATTTATCACGTATGGTGATCCGTTGGATGATATTTTTACTAAATCATTGTCTCGGTGGTACCTTCAATAATCTTTATTTCAAGTTGGGCATTTTTTATCTTTATACTCTAACTTGAAGGGGAGTGGTAGAGTTCTTATTTTTATGTTTTATATTTATGTAGGGTAATATTGTAATTACCCAAGATAGGATCAATATAAATAAGAGAATGTAGGGCAACATTGCTTACACAAATTATTCTCTTCCTCTTTCTTTCTCTTTCGATCTTCTTCTCTTTTTCTCCTAACATAATATTGTAGTCTTTACTTTTTAACTATTGATAAGATTGGATTGACGAAGACGAATTTGGATCTCGAATGACGAGAAGACCGTCCGAATGTTGCGACACTACTCGGACGCAAGCAATGAAGGATGAATTCCAGAGAACTAGCACCACTCAAACACTTTGGGAACCGTTTAGACGTTGTTTGATGATACGTGTCACTACCATTCAGATGCATCTTCAATCGTCCCAACACCCATATTGATTTGCAAACTCCAGTGACTTTTCATTGTCCGGACACTGCATGTACTGTCCAAGCGCATCGTGAAGACTTGTTTCGTACTTCAGCTTATTTAGGATTCTGAATTTTACTTGATGTCTCCTACCTACCTATGCCTAGACTCAAGCATAAATACCTGCTCTCATCTATTGAGAGGAATCCTCTTCCTAGCCTTTTTACATTATTTTTAACTTTTTGAGATTCATCATGTCTTGTGAGTAATCTCTCTATACTCTTTAGTTAGGGTAAGGATTTAGGATTGTAAACCAAATATTTATGTTATGCAATTCTTTAATGTTATATTCTTTCACGAAATTCAAGATTGATTGAATGATTTTTAACAAAGGTTTATACTCTCTATAATTAATTGATTATTCATTAACTTAATTGAGTTCTTGATATGGATAATGTTTTTAATTCCTTGCAAGTCTTATAGAACTAGTTATTGAATTCTTATTTTCAAATTAATCGAAATTAGTGTTTTTAAAGTTATATCTTCCGGTTGATTACACTAACGTTAAAAATCAACTGGGATAAATTGTAATTGCATAAATATAGATTTTTAGTGAACATGAATAGCTTCACATCCCGAAACTAAAGAGTCTCTTTTCCAATTAATGAATTCTTTTTAAATTTCCTTTATTTATTTCACAAAACAATTTCAAACCTTCAACACCAATTTTACATATTCTTCCTTTTACCTACTATTTCTTAATTTCTTCAATCTCTGTAGTACGACCATGAACATAACCTCGTATTACTATTTCTTGCCCACTTACACTTGGGTGCACCTATTCGGGATCAAGTAAGTTTTTGCACCGTTGCTGAAGATTTTAAGTCAAATTCATAAGTAGAAAAAGAAGGAACCCGCCTTCACCAGCAAGCTACTTGGAGAAATCCTTTTGGGGTAACCTTGTTCAATACTATAGTATACTTTTGATTTACTACTCTCTCTCTCTCTACACCTCCAAATGCACTCTTGCTCATATGTCATAGTTCCTTCTCATAAAATCTCCTAAGGTGATTACCTTATTAGGTAATTGAGGATGCCGTACAACATCAATAGTTTGCTTTGAAATTAATAAATTACAGCATCATATACTAAAGCATAACATAAATCCTGGTTAAAGCCTCCTCAATTTGATGAATGAGAGGACACAAAATCTAACAGAAAGATATAATAATGGATAAAGATAAATGGTGACAAAAGATTTGAGTCGTCATGCTACATGGACAAGGCTTTTTCTTATATGCATTGAATTTGAACTAAAGATTTTTTTTTCTCTTTTAGTTGGAGTATTGACCAAAAGACACCAAGAAAATGTAGGAGAGGAATACTTAATGAATGAAGACTTGGTGATAATGCAGAGATTCTGGCCAAAGGAGGTAAGCAAAGGCTAACAGATAGCAGAGAGACAACTTTCTAAGCGAGATATCACTGAAAAATTAATAGAAGAATATATGAACAACAAATTAAATGCTAGGCATTATTTTTCAAACCTCTAATTAGATTTCAGAAAGAAGTCATGCATGCACTAAATTATTCAGAGCACCTATTCTCTCCAAATTTGCTGGAGGACAAAAATGCAAATAATGTATCCCAGCCAATCCCAACAACTCAGTATTTCTCCAACAACAAAGAAAAAAAAATGTTACAGAGCCAAAAGAAAATACGCAGACCTACCCATTAATCATAAGCACAACTCTATTCCCTCGTGTAATGGGAACATAGTTAGTTTCCTGAAAAGATTTTGGCAAAATAATAACAATTAAGTGTCATCTTAATACCTACAATACAGTTTCATATTAATACACAAAATGAATAATGTGAAATCCATCATTAATGATGAATTTGCATTCGCATTGTGAAGGAAAAAGCTATTTCAATAGCACTGTATAACAGCAATAAATAAAATGTGTTTTTCCAGTAAATTAAAATTAAGAGTACAAGCTTGAAACTGACATGTCCCTGTTTAATAATTTCCAATGAAGCAATTGTTTTAGCGTACAAAGCCCTTCCCAATTCCAAACTGACTGTGTTGTACCAAATCCACCTATAAGGGTCCAAATGATGATCCCCATGACAAGAAGAAGAATTTCAGAAAAATCTCTCATTTTTTTATGGATCACTCGTCCTTCTAGCTGAATTTTTTTCTTTCAAGAAAAGTTCTGTTGTTGCTGATCCAAATTATAAAAGAAGTCTTCCACAAAAGAATTTTTTCCTTTACAATGTTCTCACATCCTTCAAAATTCCAGTGAGCTGCTTTTAACACAAAAAAAATCTCTATCCATGGTGACATACCAGCGACAATATCTGACGGAGAACATGAGAAACCACGACATCGACTGACTGGAGATCAGCTACAGCAGCACCTGGTTCCCCATGCTGAAAGAAATTCATTTTACCCAGATCGGTCCCCCGTTAATTCATAAACAGAAAAGTAAAACCATAAATAGTATTTGATGAGCAAACAGAAAGTGATGCCATCTAACTAGTAACTTGTAACTAACGATCAAATTTTTGTTTCGATACATAGTTCCAGTTAGAGAAAAAACGCGAATATTCCGAAAATGTTTGGAATACATTTGGAAACGCAATGGAAACAAAGAAAAAACCTGAAAAAATTTTCCAAAACATTAATAGAAATAGACCAAAACACGTCGAAATATTCCAAAAACACTTTGAAACATAGAAATTTCGATCCAATGACAGATTCAATTTGGTTTCCATGGAAACAAAAACATTTCAGTCATTCCGGTGGAAAAGAAACGAAACTTAGCTTCTTGCCTGTAACTACCTAAACAACATGACAATGATAGTAACTGATCTAGCATTAGCTTGACAAAAGATACTATAAACAGCAAGTGAGTGTTATTTAGAACAGTATAATTGGTTGATATTGCAATTATAAGTAGTAAAATCAAGGGTGAGTTTCACATATAAAGTAATACTTACAATTCCAAGACCAAGCTCCATCTTCCCTTGGCCCAAACGATCCGACGTAACGTGACCTGGCAATGTGCAAACAGACAATGCAACGCCTATTGTCCCAACCATTTCAGATGCATGTTTTGCTACGGCTGCAACCTCAGCAAGAGAAAGACCAGAAGCAGCAGCAGCTCCGGCAACCTATATTCCACAAGCAAAAAGAAAATGTAGAGAAATTTAATTCAAAAAAGATATATAAAAAAACAACTCCATTAGTTGCTTAGTGTTAAGTGTATTAGAGTATTATTATGTAAATATTGGTAGTAATAAGTATACCACATACAGGGTATACACATCCTTTGTATGATTACAAGTTAACTATAAATACAAGTGGTTTGTAAGAGGTAGATCAAGTTTTTACTACTCTCCGTTTCTCTAATATTGTGTTAACTCTCTAAACTTAACACTTAGCATCTAAACAGATTCAAGTAGCCATCTGTATAATGTTAGGTTCTCTTGCCTCTTCTCCACTCGAAACCCTAAAAACTAAGATCTATAGATTTTTACATCTTCTCCACTCCAAACCCTAAAACTAAGATTTTTAGATTTCAACTTGGTATGACAACAATCTAACGGAAGACATTGGGAGTCTGTTGGTGTCACTAACGTCATCGCCGGAACCGACAAACCGCGACATGGTCTGACTTGTTTTTGCCTCCTGATTATGATGGTGTTCAAGAATTTTTCAAAGCCATCTAATGTGTTTTTTTCGATTTTTGAATTTTTTTGGAATTAACAAATCATATTTTGTGATCTACTATTTGGCAGAGTTTGCGGCCATTCCAACTGTCCTAATGCAACCTGTTGGTGCCAACTAAGTGTCGTAGGAATCCTGGTTGAGTTCCGTGCACAGCCCACTAGTTTTTGGGCAATTTTTGGCTTCAACAATGGCTTTTTGGACTCCGGCAGATCCAGTTTTCCTCCAGCAGATGGTTTTTTTGGGTCTCAGCAGTAATGGGTTGGTCTCGGCAGTGTTTTTCCCGCCAGGGCATAGATCTTCCAGCCTCGTCAATGACTATTCTTCGCCCTACAGGTTTGAGCTTTCTGTTTTTAAGTGTTTTTGGGTTCTGTGAAGGTTTTTTCTTTTATTTTTCTTGTGTTTCAAGCTGCTAATTTTGGTTCCTCTTGTGTTGGGTTAGTCCTAAAATTGCTATTCAGTAGTCTGGCTGTGTTAGAAAAGTTCATTTTTGCTAAGTAGACATGTCTAGAGTCAATGCAGAATCTACCAATACTAAGAAAGGTGAGATGAGTCATGCCAGGACTCTTGGATGTAAACCATTCTCTCCAGATCAATCCAACAAAATTGAACGAAAGCAACTACTTTTTTTGGTCTTGATCATGTGCTATTAGTGCTGGTAAATCAGCTAAATGGATACCTAACAGGAGCAAGTAAGAAACTCAAATCTGCACCAGATTTTAGCCCGTGGATTTCTGAAAACTCATTGGTAATAACATGGTTACTCAACTTGATGTAGCCTCACATAAGCTGTGGTTTTCTATTTCTTGGGACAACCTATGAGATTTGGTCATTGGTGGCTCAAATATATTCGCTGGTTGGGAATGAGGCCCAAATTTATAAGCTTCAGAAGTAGATTCATGAAATCAAACAAAGGGATATAATTATTGAAAAGAATCATATAAGAAACATAGAGGAATTTAAAAACAAATATTAATTCCTCATTCCAAGATCTATTCATGTTTAATACAAACCGAAACCCTAGATCTATAAAGAAGATTAAGGGTTACCTCTTGGAACGTGCTTTTGACAATCTTCAAACTTTTTCAAAAACTTTGAATCTTTCAAATCTGAATTTAATCTTTTACCTCAAGCCTCGCAATTGTTTGATCTCTATGGATATTCACACGAATTGATAAACTTGAAGAATCTACCTCAACCTTTGATAAACTAGCAGAAAGAGAGAATGATTGATGAATTTTCTTATGCTAGCAAAAAAGAGTTATTATCTCATATAGCCACCTCCTATATAAAGGTATTTACTGAGCCTAGAAGACTCTATTCCTAGTTTAGGTCTAGTTGTAATTTTCTCATAATTACATATAACTCATTTATTAGTCATTAATTGTAATAATGTCCCTAATTAACTCTTAATTAGGTTTTCACCTGAATTAACTCTTAATTGATTTTCTCTCTTTTATCCTTAAGTTCCAATCAATTCTATTATAGGAATCTTACTTTTCTTCCGTCTATCAGCTGTCATTGGGTCTACATAGTGAAGTACCATAGTGATAGTTCGATTGAGCGTTTGAAAGCCCGTTTTGCTGTCAAAGACTATAACCAGAAATATGGTGTGGATTACTATGAGACTTTCTCCTGCTGTCCATTTTAACTCTATTAGAGTTCTTATTTTTGTTGTAGTGAGTTGTCATTGGCCCTTATATCAGCTGTTACATCAAGAATATTTTTTTACGGGGAGAGAAGGTATGTATGATGCAACCTCTAGGTTATATTGCATTTGATAAGGAACAATTAGTGTGTCGTCTGAAACAAGCACTGTAAGGCCGGCAACAATCAGCACGTGCTTGATTTGATAAGTTCAATAATATTGTACTTCAGTTTGGTTTTCAACATTCTACTTTAGACCATTCAATTTTTGTTCGTCATTCTTCCGTAGATATTATTCTTATTGTGTATGTGTTTTTTTTTTATAAAAGAATAAATTTTTATTGTTCTTATTGTATATGTTGATGATATTATCATTAGCAATAATGACTCAAAGAGTATCACCCACTTCAAAGTCCATTTGGGAAAGAAGTTTCATACCCAATGATCAAAATTTCGTTTCGGTGCACAGTTTCGATAAGCTTAGAAATGGAAATGTTTAGGTAATGTTTTAGAAACAAGATGGAAATAAATAAATATTTTCAAAATATTAGTCAAAGCATATTGAAATATTTCAAAACATAGGTCAAAATATGCCGAAACACCTCGAAACATCTCCAAACATAGGAATTCTAATTTTCAATCAATGATTTATTTCAGTCTCTATAGAAACGAAAACGTTTTAACCATTTCAAAACGAAATTTAGTTTATTGTTCATACCAAAGATTTAAGTATTCTTCAATACTTTCTTAGAATTATGGTTGCTCGGTCAAAAGAAGATATCAATTTGTACCAATGGAAGTACATATTGGATTTATTATCTGAGACTGTGACTCTTGATGCATGTACAGCTGATACGCTTATGGACTCTATAGTTAAGTTAAATGCCAAGTGTGGTGAAGTTTTTTATGATATAGGGCGCCATCAAAGGTTGGTTGGTAAGCTGATTTATCTCATTTGCATGTCTTAATATTACCTATGTTGTTGGTGTGGTTAGTCAATTTATGCATGCTCCTCGTAAGCCTCATAGGCTATTTGTCGTATTCTTCATTATCTAAAAGGAGCACCGGCTAAAAGAGTAGATATCGTCATTTATCCTCCATGATTGTTACCAGTTTTTTTTATGTTGACTGGGTTGGTAGTCGTACATATAGATGATCTATTTCAGGTTATTATATATTTATTGGTGGTAATTTTGTTACTTGGCGTAGCAAAAAACAGAATGTGATTACTCGTTCAAGTAATTTGATATTTCATGAGATGACAAAACATATTGAAGTGAATTGTCATTTTATTCAAGATCTCTTGAAGTGTAAGAAGATTATCACACTGTACATCAACTCTAGTGCTCAGCTGGATGCAAGGATCAAAATATCGTTTCGAAACGTCTGAAACGTTTCTGTTTCTAAGGAGACCGAAACAAAATAGTGATGGAATCAAAATTTTGATATTTCGAAGTATTCCATAATGTTTTTAAATGTATTATAATATTTCAATACATTTACACAATGATTTTAGAATGTTTCAAGGTATTTCAAGATATTTTGATATATTTCTATCAATGTTTTTAAAAAATAATTCTTAATTTTTTTATTTTTTTCATTCTGTTTTCGAAACGGGTCAAAACGTTTCTGAAACATGTTGAAACGTTTCCGTTTTCTAGGTGACCGAAATAATACACCGAAACGATATTTTGATCCTTGGCTCGATGACACCCATACCATACCATTGGCCTGATCTGTTTTCAGTAATTTTTGTTCCAAGCTGGGCATCTTTAATCTATATGATCCAGCTTGTGGGAGAGTGTTAGAGTTCTTATTTTATGTTATTGGTAGTGTAGGATATTATAGTAATTCCTATAATATTTGTTTACTATAAATAAGAGAGTGTATAACTCATACACTGAATATTCCCTCATTCAGTCTCTCATTATTTTCTCTCCTCTTTTTCCTCTCTTCTAACCCTAATATTATAGTTGAATGATAAAATTGATATTAGGGTTTATGAGGGAAAGAAGAAGGGAGGAAGAAAAAGAAAGAGACTGAGAGGAATAATCAGTTGTGGAGGTGATGTTGCCTTACACTCATATTTATAATAAATTAACATTATGAGCAATTACATTATTATCTTACACTACTAATAATCTAAAATAAGAACTATAACAATTACATTCTCTCATTATTATTACTTTTAACTTAGACCATCGGTAGAAGTGATATCTGACTGCTAGCAGTAGAAGACAAGACGGCCTGTTTTTGAAACATAAGCTGGGTGTATTCTTCCCACGATATACTGATCCACTCAGAGTCACCGGATGTAGAGCTCTTACTGTTTGTTATAGAAGCCACACTACTAAAAAATTAATAAACAACAGTCCCAAACCAGAACTGGACTAGCCCAAAAATGAAGTGAACCGGGAAGAAAATGACTAAAACCGTAGTGCCAACACACCGAACCAGTGATGAACCTGTCACAAACAGGTCTGAACCACACTTAAACATCTTCCAGGTGATTCAGAAAATGCTGAAATGGACTGAATTGGCATGGGTAATACTGAACCGGGACTGAACTGAGCTGAAGAATACAGATCTCACCCTAAAGCAACCTGTACAGGAATGAACTGTCCTTGAAATTAGATGCAAAACATTGAACCAGTTCCGAAATCAGCTGCAGAATACTGAACTAAGCCTGAAATCAAGTCCAGCATGCTGAACCGCACCAGAAATCAGATGCAGAATGTTGAATCAGACTTTAAATCAGTAGCAGAATGCTGAACTGGACCTGAAGTAAGCTATAGAAGGCTGAACCGGACCTGAAGAATGCTATAACAGGTTGAACCGGACCTTAAGTATGCTTTAACAGGCTGAACCGGACTTGAACCAAGCTGCAAGGGGCTAAACCGATCTTCAAATGAGCTGAAGAACACTGAACAAGTTTAAAAGAAGGCTTGAACCAGGAACCTTGGCCAAACTGAGCTGGCCTGAATAAACCAGCCCTGAAAAAAAAATCTGGACCAAGCCAGACCCGAAATAACAACCACGATCTGACTGGGTCAACTTGGATCCAAAAAAACACCCAAAACAAAATAAGAGAACCCAGCCTGGCCAAACAATCTAAGGGCATGAAATTTTATCAAAATAGATCAACACTAAGACGCACGTATCGTCTTCTTCAAGCTGCCAAACCAGGCTTGGTGATGGAACACAAAAAATAAGTGGTCCACACTCTCATTATGACCTCTACACGTAACACACCATTGCGATTGAAGACAATAATCAGGTATCCTCTTTTGAACAACCTCATTAGTACTAATCTTAGTATGAGAAATTATCCATGCACAAACTTGCACATTTAAAGACACATTCACCTTCCAAATCTTCAATGATGGATAGAATAATGGAAGCAAAGAGTCATCAATTAAATAGTCGAAAAAAGATTTACAAGAAAAGACCTCAGCTGGAGTACCAATCCTATACCTCCTATCTATAGAGTTTTGAACTAAAGTGATGTTATTAGCATAGATAGAAGAATCATCAACTGCAAACATTACCTATACTCCGGAAGACATAAGTAGTAGGTAGCCTTATCCCCCCCCCCCCTTTTTTCTCTTTACAAGAGATCGAATTCCGAACTTGATATTCAACATGTTGCTTGGGTAGATGAGTGCTTGCTATCGCTCCAGATCTAATCTCTGCTCAATTTAATAAATGTTGGAAGTGAATTTTCCACCACCTTTTAATTTCTTTCACCAATACAGTAGATCCGTATTCTTATCTTCTTTTTTTCTCAGCTTATTGGGGGATAAGTCACAGATCATTTTGATTAATATACCTCATCATTTAAATCCCTAAGTGTCATATACTTTACTTCCATATCAAGTTTGTTTGTATATAGTCTTCTGCCAACATAAGTATGAATAAATATCGCCACATGTTTTACAGTTAATAGCTTTCAGTACTGTTAAATTTCATATATTGAAATACATGCATTTTAAGAGGTGCATTGTTTCTAGCTTTTTGCCAAACTTTATTAATATCCTTCAGTTTCTTTACTACAGATTTGCACTTCTTTGAAGTTTGATAATGCTTTGCATCCAAGAGAATAAACAAAGCAATTGCCAAATTTAAATTTTATAAAAAAAATGATAACAAGATCTCAAGGACCAAAAACAAAGTCTGGAAATTTATTTCTAAAATATTGAGATGAAGGGTCAAATAAAAAGGACACCAACAGATGAAGGTGATTTCAAAATGTTGCGCGCATAGCAAGCAGTATGAGCAAATGTGTGTGCCCATGTGCAGTTGTGTTCACATGAGAGAGAGAGAGAGAGAGAGTCAACCTTATGCACTAGAATAGTCCCAGCCAAACCTCTCCGTCCTGCTATGCCTCTTGGGGGTGGTAAGGCACAATCATCACCTACAATTACCATCTGCAAGACACAAGGTTTCAACATTTATTGTTTTGACCAAGAATTATGGTCACATAAATATGTTCTTTCTAACTTCCAAGATTTGATGTAGTCTTAGAAGTTTGCATGAATCGATACCTCTATTTTGTAACCTTCAGATTTTGCTTGCTCCGCAGCCAAACCAAAATTTAAGCGATCACCAGTATAATTCTGTCAAAAACCCAAGTTACGTAGGATAAATCAGGGAAGATGAGCTCGCTTTCACATCATGGTTGAAACACTAAATCGAATTCACAACAATTCTAGGAACGGAACTTAAATAAGACAAAACTTTTCCTATGGTGTTAAGATTTTCCATCAATAAATAGCTGTCATCATCCTTCTTCCTCAGACCACTGCTATTTTTTTGACATATAAACTCTACCATACAACCTATAGACTTGAAGGTGTCAGGTAAAGAGGCAGTAATTCATTGGTAGAGCTTAGAACTTAGAATACCTTGACAATGAGAAGGCATCCCATAGGACCAGTCACAGCTCGTATGCCCTAAACTTAAACAAAGTTAATTTGCAGTTTATCTTAAGGACAAATGGAAAGCTCAAAATGGTTACAACGATTAGGGTGTCTGTTTTTGCTAAGTCAAGTTAGTAGCAAGAACGTACAGCAAGAATTGAATCAACAGGCGGAGAAGCAAAAACATCTCCGCAGATAGCGGCGGTCAGCATCCCTTCTCCTAGGAATCCAGCATGAGCAGGCTCATGGCCACTTCCACCTCCTGTATCAGGAATTTACACCAATATTCCAAGGCCGTGCTAACTTTCATTAGATACACCAGGCATGCCAGGTAATAAGCAAAGAATTTATGTGGGATTGACCTTCATTACTTAACAAAGTAAAAGGTCCTACAGTGTACTAAACTCATTTCAGAGAGAATGATGCACCAAAAGCATCACACATATGCAACAAATTCTGCTTCCACGTCAGGAAAAGGGAATCTAGCAAGTGCTTCTGTACTTGATGTATTTTTTGTGCTAAGAGGTAATGCATATAAACATTAACCCATGGTATAAGTAATCAAAATTTAATCTAATACAACAAAACAGAATTAAAAAGATTAATTTAATAATAACCAAGCAACCAAACAGAAAACTTCACTTCACCATCCAAATGTATGTAGCAACCAGGCTAGCAAGTGTAGTTCAAACACTAAATGCATGTAAAAGAAGTACACCCAAGAATTTCCCCATGCACAAATATTCACCTATAAAAATTTGTGTCCTTCAAGTATACAAGTGTCAAATCAGAATTCTAGTATTAAAGCAGAAACACAAAAAAATACTTCAGAGTGTCAGACCTGATACAACCACGACTTTGCCATATGTTGCACTCGAAACATCAGCACGCAAGACAACCTTAACCTATAGTTTCACATACTCGGAAACATTACCAAAAAATTGTAGAACATGTGTATAAGGAGAGAAATTTCATATGTAAAGAACGAACAAGTTTCTAAAATTAATAACCTCTGGAAAGCCATCCAAATACTGCAATCCAGGAAAAGTTTCCACAAGACCCTCAATGAACTCGGTCACCACATCTGTAACCATAGCAGCAAAAAAAATTCAACTCTCCATTTGATCATTGAGAAAAGGGAACAAATGAGAAGAATATGTCAAATCTTATGCTTCAGGTGTTATAGGGTGCATAGTACTTTCAAAAATTTTCATTGCATTCTTCTTTGTAGGCCATATTCTGCAAAAGTTGTGTGTTAGGATATACTTATTTAAATTACACGATAACTCTAAAAGTTTTGGTTAAGACAGAAAATTCTCCTTTAGTTTCTCAAGTGGCAGATAGGTACTTGCTGAAATTATTCAATGACCTCATAAGTTTATGAAGCACTCCCGAACACCATCTAACTAGTCCTAATAGCTGTTAAACATCTTCAAAACTTTATGGTTGTGTTTGGCGTAACTTCTTAAAGTAAAAGTCCATTTGTGGAACAAACTTCATACAACGGACTTTGCTAGATGGGCTTTTAAGATTTACTGAAGTGTTTGGTGAATATACGTTTTGAATGTGCTTTTGTGTTAAAAAGTGCATTCCCATATAAAAATATGTTTGCTGTCAAAGTATAAAATTACACATATTCCATAATTGCCCTTCTGGTTCAAAAAAAATTAACCTTAATCCTAGGTTACACCTCTTTATTAGTTTTAACATTAAAGCTATCTATATATTTTCGAAAAAATAATTAATAAACAAATTGTACAAGCATAACAATTGTTACTGGGTTATTTGGGAAAATGATAATCTGCCAAGGTTATGCAAAACACAGAAAGTGGATTATTGCACACTTCCACCATCTTGATTTCCTCAAACTCTCTCGTAAAACATTCCCTAACTCCTTAGGACCCTAGGCTCTACACCACTCTCTCTTAGAATCACATGGTGTTGCAGTTTATCAACAGACCAAAATATCCTCTTCTCTCTTCTTGTATGCTTTATCATGGAATACCTCAATTTATCTATCTCCACTCTCTTTCTAATATGAAGTGATTGATGGACATTGAATAATGGCAACCGGCAACGTAGAGAGAAGCATATCGAGAATACGGGAGAAAAGTTCTCAATCGGTGGAAACACGAATCCGTTGACCAAAGATCTTCTTGAAGCTGAAGTGAATCTTTCTCTTCAATTTTCTGCTAAAGATGTTCTACCAGGTTTTCTGTTCATATGTATTAACTCTCGGCATGAGTATGCAAATTAGCTTTCATGTAGGATTAAAATTGATATTTATAATATAAACATTGAAGATAATATTGGAATTTAACAAAGTCACTTAAATGAGGGTAGCTAACTTCGCGAGAAGTGAAAAGAGCTGGTTTTGAGAAGCTAGTCAACCACCTTTTCTAGCTTGGAAATGGGAATTCCAAGAATGCACTTCTGGTCAATAAGTGAAATAGATGGATTTGCCAAAAAGTTCAAGCGTCTAACAAATGGACTTCTCGACTGAGAAGCCCATTTAGGATGCCCGCCAAACACACCCTATATTGACTCCAGGAAGTTATGATACTTTTAGAAATTACAAAGTGACCCCTAAACGTTATATGAAGTTTATAGAAATTATAAGATGGCCCCAAAAGTCTATAAAACTCTGGGGAGGCTAACATAAGTTATGCCCTTAGGATTGTATTTTCTTGGGGTTGTAAACAACTCTTATGATCATGAAAATAAAAATATATACCACAATGATATAAGTAAAGATTTGATCACTTATGAACTGTAGACCACGAAATTATGAAACTTCACATGAAATGTGTTAGTGTGGAAAGGGTGGTACACGTCGACATGTATATTGGTGATAACGATATATTGGTTTGAGTAGCAAATACTTGTATACGTTAGCATATCGAAATGATATTGAAATGCTTATTTCTGATTGTATTATATGCATACTAGATGTTGTCTCAATGATAAATATGTCATATGTGATGATCTCGGTTAGTATACATAACCAACAATGAGATACACGAAATGATAAATGTTGACATGAAACAGGAGACAAGCAAGCAGGGATCACTCATCCCTTTGGTGAAAGACCCTAAACAAGTCTTGATCAAGCATAGCATTCATCAAGGTGAAGGATGACGCATGCCTAGATTGAAAGCATATAACAATGAGGGGGTTGGGTACAACCATGGTTAAAGCCCTCCAAGGGATCCGGCATTCTTGAAACATTGGCATAAATGGTTATAGACTGAAAGTCTGGTGGAACCCATGACATGAATATGTGATGTCGAATAAATTTTAAATTGAAAGCTGACATGTATTCATGCATCCTATTTCTTGATAATGCATATATAATGTTTTCATTCATGTTTTGAGCATGATATTGCTATGAGTATATCGTTATGAATGTTATTTAATATGAATTGCAAGTATAGATTACTATATCATATGGGAAGTGATTAAAACTTGGTAGTAATTTTCCAGCGAAGCGTGGCTCACCCCTAACAATTTTGTTGAGAATAAACTAAGAGATGATAGGAGTTTCTTCCTAAAGCTATCTTGAATATAAGTGCTCAGTTTGGCTTGCAAACCATTATATTTCGCACTAATTTTAGAGAAACTTTGGACTTGTTTGCTTTATTGTGTTTTGAAAACCCACAGGTTTAATTGTGTCGATTAATGTACTACTTTCAGGATGAATATGTAATTTGGGCACTTGAACTACGACATTGAATAAATGTTGAATGGCAAATGACTGTAATTAAGATTATTTAGAGATCGGTAAATGCTCTGATTATCCAATTCAAACTTAAGTACTTGAGCTGTTTAAATTCAATCGATAAATTTTGCATATTTACTACATAAATCACATAAAACATACTAAATCACCCCAACAATCTGAGTGGTGACATACACATTGAATTTTTTGGTATCTCTCTGATCCTAGTATTTTCTATCAACAATCCTACGCTCATACTCCTAAACAAAATGGTGTGTTCAAATGCAAGCATCAACAGATCGTTGAAACAATAATTGCACTCCTTCACTCAGTTTCTATGCCTTCTATATATAGGGTCAATTTTGTTGATTAATCGCATCCCAACTTAAGCGTTCCACAATGTTTTCCTTTATGAAAAATTGTTCCATACAGCTCCTAATTCTAGTTTGTTGCAAGTATTTGGATGCTTGTTTTCCATGGCTTCATCCCTGAGCCAAAAGTGAACTCGATTTTCGATCCAAAACATGTATCATTCAATGTTTCAACTCTCAACAAAGGAATATTGTTGTCTTGACGTTGAATTTCAAGCTCTTCAGCAATATAATGCAGGGTCCCTCATTCCTCCACCTTCCAATTAAACATTCATTGGGTGCCTATGAAGTATGAACTTATACGATCAAATTTGCCATTGAATGTTTCTTCTTACAAGGCATGTCTTCTTGCTAAAGGATATGAACAAAGGCCTTGATTATCGAGAAACATGTGGCCCTATTTATAAGCAAGTTACAACGATCAAAATTTCATTCAATACATAGTTTCGGTCATATTGAAAATGGAGAAGTTTTTGGTTGAAAACATTTCGGTAACACAATAGTAACAGAGAAAAAATATATTGTCTAAAACATTGGTCGAAGCATACCCATGAGCTAACTAAGGAGGCTGCCTTTATGTTCATATGTATGCCAATAGCATGACATATAGAACATTGGGCAATAGTCACTCATATAAAAAAAATGAGAAGGCTTTCTGTCTGATAGAATCAACTATCGCTACGAATGAATAGGTAATAGCGTGCTTAAGGTCAAATGACTTTATGCTTTTTGAGAATTGTCGCAAAATTTTTACAATCCCTTACTTTGATCTGAGAAAAATCACTTGTCAGATTGATGTCAACGACAAACTTTTCCACTCGAGAAAAGACCCAGCAACTTAGGGTCGCCAACTCTGTTGACAGATGAACTCAAAGATACACTCTCCCCTCACCGAATCTTTCTGTGTGCTTTATGTCGAGCACGATCTTGTTACGTTAAATTTTCCCTCAAACATTTGTTATGTTAAATGGTCGAAACACAAGGCTTTGTACACTCATAATTTCTCTCTCATAAACTTCGTAGAGCTATTTAGGGTCTCAAACAATCTCCAAGCGCTTGTTATTATTGAAATTTATAAGAATGAAGTGCAGAAAATTATGGAGAGGGAAGAGATGAAGAAGAGAATAATTCTCATTCATTTTTGTTTTTGTTTTTCTATATATACAACTATATATACTGATTACAAAGAGTAGTGAACAAGTAATTACACACCAAACCTATCCATCTAAATGCTTTACACATAAGAGAAAATTTTCTAACTAACTGTCAGCTCTTCCATGTGCCTCAAGAACCTTCTAGCGTGCTCTGCGTGGATATGCTGAGTTAGAGCGAGCTTGATCAGTGGAAGCTGAGCTGGGGACTGCAACTGGACTTGCTACATTCTCTATTGATTTTAACATCCCCCACAAGATGGAGAGTATATATTGCGCACTCTCATCTTGAGAAGTAAAGAGTACAAAGATGACGATGTCAAAATTTTTGTCATGATATCTGCAATCTGAGAATGTGAAGGTATATAGGAAATGGAGATCATCTTCCCTTGTATCTTCTCTCGAATTAGATGACAATCTAATTCAATGTGCTTCGTTGTTTCATGGAATACAGGATTTGCTACAATGTGAAGTGTTGATTGATTGTCACAGTAAAGGGTGGCTAGTGTTTCATGAGGTATAAAAAGATTATTGAGTAGATGTCTAATCCAAGTGAGTTCACAAAAAGCTGCTACCATTGATCCATACTCTAAACTTCTTGAGACTGTAGTCTGTTTCTTGGATTTTCATGCGACAAGTGACTGACCAAGGAAGACACAATAGCCAGTTGTAGATCTTCTAGTACCTGGACATGAGGCCCAGTCAAAATCACAATAAGTTGTCACATGCAAAGATGCAATGGAAGGAAAGAAAAGGCCCTGAGCTGGAGATCTCTTAATGTACTTAAGTATCTTGTTCACAGCATTGAGATGAGAGACACAAGAGGCCTCCATAAATTGACTCAACATCACTCG